TTTTTTGAAAAGTTATTATTTTTCCAACAAAAATGCAACTTTCTGGATAAAACGGGTCTGAACAAATTTCTCTAAACAAACGCGTTTCTTGCTGAAAATGGCTATAAAAGGAAGTCTTTTTTTGTTTTTCCAAACACTATGAATTTTTCCTTCTCTGCATATTTTTTTCTCTCAAAACCAAAGTGTCGATCGACTGAGTCTCTGTGACTTTTTGTTGTTCTTATGATCGTTGAAGTTAAAGATGTTTGATGTACCGCTATTTCTTTAACAGAATTAATCCATTTTATCTTGGGAGAAATTATTTCGTAACCTCGCGTACAGTGAGGGAATTAAATTTCTTAAATGGACACAATAATTTATGTGGACTCGAATTATTTCTTTTTGTCTACTTCATCTTATTTCTGTTTCTATTTTTTCCTTAACCTTATGAGTACAGGTTGTTGCCAGTCTGTGTTATGAAAATCAGAAATTAGTGGTTGTAATAATCATTCAGAAACACGAAGTAACTGAGATTTTTAGAACTAGTAAGTAAGATGAAAAGAAATTTATTTGTAAAAAATAATTGAATCTGTAAAAACTTACCAGAATCTGGAATACTCTTTTAATAATTTAGGAAGAAAATCAAGTCCACTGAATTCACAATGTCCCCTTAAGGAAATTATTCCCTTCTAGTATCCGAGGTTTGATTTTGAATATAACCTCCCAGGGTAAAATGATCTTAATCAGTAGAGTATAGATACCAAAAACTCTACTGTAAGCGAATCAATCCACAGCAGGAAAGTACATGAACAAATATGTGTTTTTAAGAAGAAGGAAGATCAAAAAATTCGTAGAGAAATATTCTGAAGACTTAATGGTATTTATAGGCAAGAAGAATATATTCTGAAAGGTTACAACTCTTTCAGAATTGACACAACCATTAATAAAAGGTTGCAACCTTTCAAATGGTATTGACTATTCCTGAAAGTTGCAACCTTTCAGAATAGTCATGTCGGGAATTTTTAAATATAACAGAATTTAAAACGGGTCACGAGCACGGATCCGAGTCGGGTCGGTTTAACTAAAAAGTTGAAAACATTTTGGACAAAAAATTATCCCTCGATCGATCATTTGCCATAGCCAAAGCCAAAGCCTAAGTCGTAGCCGAAGCCGAAGCGAGCGACGACGACGGCGCGAGGGGGGTCCCTCTTTTCAACCCTTTTAACAATTAATAGGAGTGTTTATTTATTTAAACTCTCCTATTTTCATTTCCATTACCGGTGAGGGACTATTGCCTTTTTCATTAGAGGACTTTTCAAGTTCCCAACCTTTCAAGTTCTAAACTTTTCAAATTCCTCTCCTTCCCTCTATTTCCCATCAATTCTTGCTACATACCCAACACAGGTTAATAGCAAAAGGTAGTTAAGAAAGTTGATCCATAGTAAATGAAGTACTATGTGGAGGAGAAGATATAAATTATAATCAGGATCAGGTATAACTAGTAAATCTGTAAGAGGAAAATAGAAATAATAGGTTGGATAGAAGAATAGGGTATATATCCGCATTAAAAACCACATTCCTTGAAAAAAAATATTTTTGAGAATGTAAGATAAGTAACTTGAACCTTTTTGCCCAAGAGGATACCCAAGAAACACACAGGGCTCAACTCTACGATCCAATTTAGATCTACCAGGAGAAAGAGTGGAAGCAAAACCAAGACAACCAAAACATTTAAGGTTGGAGTAATTTGGAGGATGACTAAAGGGTTTCTTATATGGTGTTTGAAAAGATAATAGTTTTGTCGGGCATTGATTAAGTAAGTAGATGTTGTTAGACAATCCACCCAAAATTTTGATGGAAGATGATACTGAAAAAGCAAAGCTCTACAAACTTTAAAATGATGCCTATGTATTCTCTCAACTACACCATTTAGTTGAGGCCAACACAAGAAGTTTGATGAATGATGTCTTGTGTAGATAAAAAATTAGAAGTTTCTAAACATGAACGCAATTCCCAAGAATTATCAGACCTAATGACCTTAACCTTTTTGTTGAACTATCGTTCCATCATTGCAAGGAAAGATTTTAAAATAGAAAAGGCATTAATTTTATTAATTAATAAAAACATCCAAGTTCCTCTACTAAAAAATCCACTATAATCAAAAAAATACTTATAACCAGCGTAATAAGTAGGGGATTTATGAGGCCCTCAAGTATCAATATTGATTATATCAAAAATTTGTAGAGACGAAATATGACTAATAGGAAAAAGAAATTTGGATTGCTTTGCTAGGAAAAAATAGAACATGGAACAGAAAATTTCGAACAAACTGAAATAAGAATTTCATTTATATTCTCCATATTTGATAAAGGCATATGCCCCAACCATACTTGTCATAACTTGCTTTGAATAACAAAAAGAGAAATACATGACAAACTAGATTTATCATCCTCTAGGAAATCTAAACTAGAGCTAGACTTAAAATAGGAATTGATAAAATAAAAAGCAACTGGAAGCCTATTCTTCAAGATGTAGAGACCATCTTGGCTTTCACCAAGGAGCATTTTGCTCTTCGTTGAAGGGTCCTGCATGAAAAATGAGAAGGTGTGAACAATAATATATTAGAAAGTTGTTTGTACATCTTATATACAGAAAATAAATTGAAATGGAAACTAGATACATACAAAACATTATGAATTAATAAATTTGAGAAAAGGTTGACAGATCTCGAATGAGAAATCTTAACCTTTACTGAATTAGGATGTCTTACCGAAGTAATTCTAGGAAATATTTAAGATCAATAAAAAAATCTGTATACTAACTCATATATTCAGTTGCACCTAAGTTTATTATCCACGTCTTTTTAGTGAACGATTTACCATCAATATTTAAATTTAGAGCGAAATTATTAAGTGTTACAATAACACCAACACAATTACTGAGGCTATGACATCATAATTATTGTCTTGATCCATAGTTTTTACAAGTTGAAATATCTTTCATGACATGTGCCAATTGCACCTGTGTGAGAAGTTTCTCATGCTCCTCTGATTCTGCACTAGTCATAAAAGAATCTCCAGAAAATTCATTAGAAGTCACAGCATTACTCTTAACAGACTTTTGAAAGTCTCTTGACTTAGTAAATTTAAAATCAACTGAAACTCCATTCATCTTATAACATTTTTCAATGCTATGTCATGTTTTATTGCAATATCTTCAAAAAAGATTAGACTTCTTGTTATCATAGTTCCCCTTTTGTCTCCTAAAATTAGTAGAAAATGATTTTTGTCCATTGTCAACGATTCACCATGAAATTTTTGTGTATTCTAGACCTCCCTTTGTTTCTCCTCTTGCATCAACAATGCATAAGCATTAGGGATAGAAGGGGGTGGTAAAATCATGAGTATATTACCTCTAGGTGCATAATAAGAATCATTAAGTCCCATTAAAATCGAACTAATCATTCATCTTGCTTTGATTAATGATATTTTCGTTTGCTGTGCAAGAACAAGCGCAATTGCATTGAATGAAGAAATCCAACGCATTCAGTTCATCCCAAAGACACTTCATCTTAGTGTAATAAGTCATAATATCAATTAGCCCTCAACAGGTCAATTAGTTTCGTTTGAAGCTGAAAAAGCTTGACACCAAATTTTCTCCAAAATTGGCTTCTAGTTCTGCCCAAAAATCTTTAACAATGGAAGATTATATAACACTTTCAGAAATTTCTCTAGAAAGAGAGTTCAAAAGCAAGAAAATTGCCATGTTGTTTGCTCTCGACCAAGCATTGTCCAGGTCTGTACCAACAGCATGTTCATGATTTGATTCATCAATAAAACTTGACTTATTTTCCACAGGCTAGGCTATGACCATGCCTCTCTTCCATCCATAAAAACTCTTTCCTTCAAAAGTTATATTTAATAACAACATACCGTGAGAATCACAAGGAGAAGTAAAAAACATATGAGAAGAATTTATGAGAAGAGCGGTTGCATTAGTTCCTGGAAGAATGGGAACTTGAGTCTCAGAAGAGGTATTTACATGATCTCCAATTGCAGCAAATTATTGATCAGGAATAAAAATGAAAACAGAAAAAATAATTAATGGATCGTGATATATAGAGAAAGTACCTTACAAAAGAATATTATTGAATAAACCCTTCAAACACAACTATTTTTTGTATTATAAGATATTGAGGATTAAAGGGACATTTAAAGATTTTTAAAAAAAAAAGTTGCCAAAAGGCAAAAATAAAAGAAAAAGAATTTCCAAAAAAAAAGACCACTACCTCTAATGGATGACATTACCATTACATTGTCATTAATAATTAGATGAAAACGTCCTTTGTTAACTTCTAATGAAAATTTCTTTTTTTCCTTTTTTATAAGTGAAAGTAACGTAAATGAGGATTTAAAATTCGTAATGAATTTTGCATGAGCAGAACTCTATCCATATGTCTTGTAACGATTTCTCTTTCATTCAATTATCATTTATTAATCAACATTGATAAAAGGTTTTACCACCATTTCAACACACAACAAACCTTTAATTTTGCATATTACTAACTTTGTAACTCGTATAAAGGCTTAAAAGATCTTCCTAGAATTAAAATGTACCTAAACAGAGGGAAATTGAGAGGTAACACAATTATAATAAACAAAATAAACTACTATGGAGCACCATAAAATATATAACAACAACGTAACATTAACGAATGTGGTCCATTTTACCTCTATCTTATGAGGAAGAGAGATTGTTTCCAAATGGCCGTGCAAACTCATTCAATCTCAACTAGTTATATTTGAGGAAAAGTAATTAGTGAGCACAACATGTTAACTCTATGTTTGTATCATCAAACAAATTTGTGTTTATAGCATAAGAACAAAGGGTACATTGAAAACACATGTCGATCATAATATTTTAAACAACCCATTTCATTACACAAAATGCTCAAAATATATTTGACAAGTTTACTATCAAATTGACAATCCACATAATAAAAAAGTTCTAGTTTGGAATATTTAGACTGCCAATGCAGTCCTTCTGCAAATGGGGCATGAATTCACTTGCATGAGCCATTGATTGATGCAATCAAAGTGAAAGGTGTGGTGACAGTCAGTGCTTCCAATAATCTGCCCATCAGAGTAATAATCCTACAAAATAAAGAAAACAATTAAACTTACATGACTAGACCTTAAGATATAGGAGGAGACAATCAAATTAAAATATAAAGACCTTACCAAACAAATAGAACATGTATCCTCATCACTTGTAGAAATTTCGGTTAACTGATACATGACGCGATTCATACGTGCAAAAATAATTTCTCTGCTCAATCCCCTATTAACATTTCCAGCTTGATCTTGACGAGCCAACAAATCCTAAATTAAAGATCATAGTTTGTACGAAGAAATTATTTCATAAAGAAAAAAATTATACTATTATTTGTCCTTTATTTTATCATAACTCATATTTTTCATGTAAACATTTAAACTTTGAGTCATAAAATTTGTACCTAAAATTTCACATACAATTTGTCATAATCTCTAGAAAGAAGTAAATGTTACAAATCAAATATGGATAATTTTATTGGCAAGGAAAGATTAACTTGACATGTAGATTTATCAATTAACACAACCAAATCATTAAAAGTATAAGTACATTCAACAATAAAAATAATTGTATCTAAACATTAAAACATACTTAAAGTGTGATGTGATAATTCTGAGTTGGTAATTAAATCAAGTATGAGTATGCGAAAACTAATAATGTGAAAATTTCAATAAATTTATGATTAAAAAGAAAAATAATGCTAAAAAGAGAAGAAGATTAAACTAACCATATGAACATTGGCGGGATGTGGGGGAAATGGCATAAGATTTGGTCCATGGTTCACATTCGTAAATCTTGAGGCATAATTCATCACAGCATAAGGCAAGCTCCAAATATTATTCGCATTTGGTAGGGCAGGAGTCATTGTATTTGTTATTATTCCATTAGGAATCCAATAAGAAAAATGATTTCTTGGAACAATGGAAACATGATATATGTTTGTTCCATTAGACAAAACAATAGTTAAGCTCCCATTAGAGGAATAATAATACTCCAAAACAATGAGTACCATACCATTGAGACGGAATCCTGGTCTTACATAGTAAATTCTAGAACTATGTGCAGCAGAGGTCATATTTCGCAAAATGATATTCCTTGTACTAGTATGATGCGGCATTATACTTTTCTTTAAGAAGTACTTCTCCAAAAAAATTATTGTAATGTTTCCTGAACCTGAAATCACAATGAAGTAACAATGTTAATCCATATAATGAAAGTTTAATTCCAAATAATGAAGCACCTTTTTCTTGCTTCTTTCATACTAACTTTAAAGAAACATGAAAAATAAGCTGATATTTATTGATTTACAAAGAAAGTATAGAATATAACTTTCATGTGCTCTGGGTTACAATCTCTATGTTTCACATAGATCTCTCGGTATAGAAAACATCTTTTAACAAAACATCATCCAACTCTATAAAAGATGTTTTCTATACCGAGAGATCTATGTGAAACATAGAGATTGTAACCCACTCTAAATATTCGAAAGAAAGGGTCTTTTAAATAAAATGCATTTCTTTGAAATATGTTAAGATTGAGTGTCGAAAAATTTAACTTGACAATCAAGAATAGCTAAAGATAGCATAAAGGAAGCGTTATTAACACTATATGGAATAAAGTTAATTCATGTTTTATCCTCAAAAGTAACACTATCACATGAACTTACTTCATTAATTCTAAAAATCTACCTAAGAAAAATGAGTAAACAATCAAGTTTTTTATTCTTTTGGGTAGAGGAAAATTCTAAACTTAATAAAGATGATTTTCAAAGGGTCTATAAATTATTTTACTCTTCAATTCAATGTACAAATTAAACAAACATACATAGAGTACTCATATAGTCCATCAAACTAGTTTATAATTCATATATAGCTAATTTGACTAACATTTATTAAATGTCTACATGAGAATTCAATCAACAAATCTTATCAAATAGAATTTCAAATAAAATTAATGTAGCACATCACCAACAATAAGAAAAAAAATTGCATACCATGAATGTGGTCAAATTTAAGTAAAAAAAACGAACTTACCTTAATGAAAAGATTGATGAAATGATGAATTAGAAGGACTAACACTAGGAGTAAATCTTCAAACCCTAATTACTGAGGAGTAAAGACTGATCTGCGGGAGGCGAATTTGTCATAGTGCTTACAATTGATGAACATAATTGTGAAGGATGGATCAATTTGAAAATCAATAAAATTGAGGGATGGGGCATCCCATTGATCGATACAATTGAGGTGATAGCTTTTTTTATCTGCTAAATAATTTCATTTGAGACTATAGAAAAATTTAAACTAGGATAAAGATGTAATAAATAAATATATTGCACTAGAGGACAAAAGAGTGTAATATTTAGATTATCCTAATTTAGAAATATTAGGACAAACATGTTTTTCTTGTTTCATATTTGAGTTTTTGGAGCATTTTTCACATGACTACTTCCACATGAAAAATGCAAAGATTTTTTTGAATTATTTTCTTGTTCTTATCTCCTTTTTATCACTAAAACTTCTCGACATTAATTCATAGATCTTCATCCAAAAATTTACTATATTCAATTGATTCTGGTTAAAAGATTAGTTCCTTTTTAATCTTCTCTTTGTCAATTAATATCATATGCATTTTTGAAATTTTAATTTTGAACAAATATTTTTAAAAAATCAAATATATTTAATCACTTGGTGCAAAACTATACACAATTTTTTACTCAAGTTTTCTTGTGTCAATCCTTTTTCTTATATTATGTATCATAGCTTAGTAATCTCTTATTGGTAAACATAGAATTGTTTCACCAATTAAAACATCAATAACAAAGATCCAATAAGTGTTCTCAACACTGCACAGACAATTTTCAAAATATACATATTGTAATCATACAATTTAAAAAGAAAAGTCTCTACTTAAAATTTCACCAATGGAACAAACTACCTCAAAATTAGAAGGTTGCAACATTTAGACCAGGCAACGCCTCAATCATCATGATCCAAAATCTCCAAAAGTAAAAATCTTAAGAGAAAGAAATAAATATACTTAAACAGAACTACAGAAAAGAAATAACTAGTAGACAAGGGGACATAATATAGCTATTTATAAGGAGATACAAATATATAAAAAAAGGCCCTAAAATTATCAACAAAGACAAAACTATATATAAGAAATAATCTTTTACTTGGCATTATTTGTACAAGAGTGACTAAAAACAAAAAGGACTATATACAACAGAATTGTTAATGAAAATACAAAATAGAAAATACATAAACTGTACAAAAAAGGCAAAAGCAGCAAGTCTTAGGATGCCAAAAGTTTCCCATGATCCAAGTCTACAATTGTCACAAGAGAATCAATGTTAAGCGAGGGTGGATCATTGACGAATATGCATCAGAAAATGATGGAGAAGTGAAGCATGCATAGGCAAACACTAGTTCCAGTAAGCATGCATCAGAAGCCGGCGAGCTCAAAAATACCATAGATATAGAATAAAAATTATGATAGTTCTACTACTATGATTAATAAGTTAAAAGAAAATAAAATTCCCTCATGATAGTGAGCACACACAACCAAATACCAGGTAATTGTTGGGATATACTATTAACCATATGATTGAGTTATTGTATTGATTCTAATTCTTTATATTCTTTACGCTTTATGTTAATTATTACAATAAACTCTTTGTTTGAATAGATCATTATGTTCATGTATGTTAATTACTTATATAGTACACGATTTATGAGTTTGTAATTGTTAACTCATAGACGAAAGATTAAAATTGTCGGTTCTTAGAAGTTATAAATTAAATGTCCGCAATCAAAGGAGAAGTTGGACAAACATCTTGATGATTGTAATACAAAATTAAATATAATTCATCCTCCATTATGGAAATGATAAAATTACAACTTGTTGTGTTAGTACATTATGCATGTATTGAATGAAACAAAGTGAGATATGTATTTAGATTCAAAATTTCAATGAATAATATGTCCAGCCTATTACATGAGCTTATACTCTTATACTTGATGTAGTTATTATGATCTGTGTACTTTGCTTTATTCTTTTGATCTAGTAAAAAGTGAGACTATATGATGAGTCAAAATATTTCTATTGGATTGGATAATAGCAAATTACATTTATGAAATAATAATTAGTTGACACAACCATATCTTAGATATATATGAGAAAGAAGACACCCCTCTATGGTTGCTTCTAATTAGTCAGTTGAAAATCCTGCAGGTGGATTATATGTGTATGTCTGTCACATGAATTTATTTAAACATAGAGATTAAATATTAAATTAATAAATGGATTTAATTTTCTAGACATTTGATTCAACCATTGGTCTAGGTAATTCTAACATGGGGAGTTAAATAAGTTGTAAGAGGAAAAAAAATAAAATTAAATAGAGGAGTGCAGCTACAAATTTTTTTGTTGTATAATATGTGATTGATTATGATATTGTTAATTCATGCTTTTATGGATTTAATATTATAATTGAAAGCCTCTGCTAATAATGTTGTGGTCCTTATTATGCCTGATTAATTAATCGAGCTCGGAAAAGAAAAGGACTTTTTATATTTTTGTTCAGTCTAGAAATAAATAATTTTTTATTTTTATTAGTTTAAAAGAGATAAAAACTTTTTTATTTCCTGAAAAGAAGAAATATGAAAATACTAGATTTCTTTGTTTCCTTAAAAGATGAAAGTAGCTAATATTGTTGTTATTAGTTATTAATATATATTGATGGTGTTTAAATACCTTTGGTGTTTAATAATTGTCTTAATACACTTAATGATATTTAGTGATTGTTGATAACTATTTATCATGACTTTTAGATATCTTAATTGTGTCAAAATATACTTAATGATATTTAGTGGTTGTTAATAACTACTGATCATGTTTGTTAGATATCTTAACGGTATCAAAACACACTTTATAGTATTTAATGGTTATTGATGACTATTGATAATGAAGGTTGGATACACTTAATATATATATTATGACTATTAATGAATATTAATAATGAATATAGAAATATTTCATCTTCAAACTTCTCCCTTCTCTGAAAAAGTATAAACAGGGTGGTCATTCTCAAGTAAAGACTCCTTTTTTTTCCTCAAAATTTTCTTCCCCACATAAAGACTTGATTGAGAGAGTTTGTAAGAAATTAGTAGAAGGTTGCAATCTCAGAGTCTCAGTTCTTGAACGAGTTGTGTGAAAACTTCAAAAGGTTGAAGTTTCACAAGTTATTCAGTTTACATTATTATGCTATTATATTTGTCTGTGAAATAGAATAATGTTTTCACCATGCATATACTAACAATTGGTATCAGAGACTTCTTACCTATAACTTATAATGTAATAAGAGTCCATAATATTGATACATGTTCGATAAAATATGTATATGTCATGTTGTTCTTTTGAAAATAATCTTTGTTGTTTGAAAGATTGTTTGATCTTTTAAAGGAGTTTTAAGGGTTTATTCCTACTTCTTATAAATGATTTTTACAGTTTATATGTCGACACAAGTCCTCTCCCCATCAAATTAACTTGTATATGTTGTTACTGCTATGTTTGCCTTTTGATTTGATGGCTTGATTTAACTTTCCAACTATGTTGCATGTCAAATCAAAACAAAACACAAGATATATACATACATA